CTTTCTATTTTCCACCGATTTTCTTTCAGTGCGTAATGCCAGCCATTTGATGACATGGCTCTTTATCGCCAACGATATCTCTAAAAAAAGCAGGCACAATGTATGCAGGCATGGGTTTAGCAGGGGAAGCAAAAATATTGCTGTGGGTTAGCCATGGAATGCTTGGCACAGTGTAACACATATTGCGCGACATTGTGGTCAGACTGCTGCACCGAGTACTTCACGGGCCGCATGCACAATATTATATTTGGATTTATTTAGTTTAGTACTAAGTAATGGTGGCTCGGGCTTTAGTTGGCCAGCTTTACCGTTATGTGACGTAATGTGTTGGAATTTTATATGTGGCGCCCACGTTGCATGTAAAAGCGCTATACATACATTACTTTTCATTGCCTTTTACCACGCTTGCGGTTGATAGCTAAACTCAGTGCATAAGCCAAATAAATTACTGCAGTTTAGCAAATATCAACACATAAATGTGCATGTATTAATTTGTACTTTTTTCGGGCTTTAGCGAGGGAAATAATAAACGCCCATGGCTTAATTTCATTGAAAATTTCCATTCGCACACACAGGAGAAAAACGAAAATGGCAAATTATGCATGTGTATGTGAATGTATATGTTTATACGGGCAGAGCATATCAATATATGTATTTGTTAGACTCTAATTTAACCAACAGCTGCTTTGATTTTTTTCAGTTCGTAATTTAATTTATGACTTTTTCGTTAGTACTAATTTTGGATTGTTCAAAGGCAATTGCCGTTTTCTATAATGGCAAGCGAGCTTTCTGATTTACATATTTAAATAAATTTCACCAAAAATACAAATTATTACGAATCTTTATTCGATTTTATGCTTTAAGTATTTATTTTTGTGCAAACTTTTCAAGAATAAGCCTTTAAGAGTATTTTTCAAATTTTAATTATTCACGGATATATAGCCATTGTAATGAAAACACACCCGAAACTCGCTCAAAACTCGCTCAAAACTGCCTTTTTAAAAAATTCTTTAACGATTTATCAAGTACTACATCACCAATTTATTTGAAATTTGGTGAAAGTCTTCTCCGTATATGTTTCTATTGTCCTAACTATGATTTATTACAATTACAAAAATAAGTATTTTTAAAAAATTCAGAGATCTGAAAAAAAAAATTATATATGTGTAAAAGTGTTTATAATGTTTCGGACATCCTTAATTTAGCGAAACAATTTTTTTCAGTTATTTTTATTTAGTTCAATAGCAACATTTGTGTAGACAAATAATAATTTTTATATCACATTATTTGAAGGCTTGAAATAGTGATAGACTTGACGCATTATTTTTTCCGAACCGAGAACTGCTTCAATAGCCTATAACATTTCGAGTTTTAAAATTTTCTCACTTGTTTATATACTACTAAAAAATGAATGTGGTTAAAAACTAATATCAAAAATAGTTTTTGTTTTTTGTAGCGCCCGAAAAAATTTCACAAATTCATACCTCAGGAGTAATACCCCCTTAAAACGATATATTTTTGGATATACGTATACAGGCACAGCCGTTAGTGTCCATGTAAGCCACTTTTCAACCACTTGGGTGCTTAACGAAATATTATTTCTTTATTCCTCTCATACCTTGTGTATTCATTTAGTGGGTAATATCTGGCCTTTTGGAGGTTACTCATACGCAGTGATGCGCGTTTTTGTAGAAACTCGCATGAAATAGCGAATTCGCTTAGTACAACTGTGAATATTTTTTTTTATATATATACACGTTTTGTGTGTGTCTTCGTTTGCACGTACCCAACTAATACATGCACATAACAGCATTTAAATAATTACTAAATATTTATGCGTGCACAGCAATGCCAATTATACAATTTTTAAACGTTAATTAATTAACATGCATTTATGTAAAATATTTCTATTTAATGGGGACATGTGGTGCTTGTGTCTAGAAACACGTTTAACATTTGGTAGTTTAGAATTTGTATTGTATATGTAATTTGTGAATTATTGCTTTACCGGAGTTTTAGCGGCAAATTTTTGCGGAACTAAAGGCCTTTCAGTGGTGTGCAAAAAATATTGTTTTTGTGCATTTAAAAATTTTGTTTGTCTTTGTAATTTTTTCATATTCTATGAAGGGTTTCACAATTTTTTAGGTGGTGATAGAAATATATTGATTTTACTGCTAAAGTTAAGACAATCTAGATTTAGAACTACGAAATAGATCTTCGAAAGACCTGTGTTTAATTTGTATTAATATAAACAAACCTAGTCTTACGTGTTTTTGCTGCTGGTAAGATAAACTGCAACTACTGTGGTAGTCGCATCAGTATGCTTAAATATCATGATTGAAAATTAAATTATTTAAATTCTTGGTTCAACTGCTGAATTTTGTAATATTAATTAGTCCAATTGATTTAATGCCCTATTAATTAATTAATTTATATTCGAACTAGTAAATAAGCTCTACGATATTAGTCAATGTACACAGTTGCACTAATAATTGTTTTTAAAACTATTATATGAAGCTGCTATATACGCATTACCGCCACTAAATTTTCTATATATGGTATACATACATCCTTATATTTATAAATCCTATGTACGCGTGTTTGTGATTGACGATTCTGATAAAAAATTTTGTGTGCATTCAAGGGGTTTGAAAATGGTTTAGATTCACAATTTGATCAACTAGATAATGTTTTAATAATGAATTTATTTACTTACAATTTGTGGTTGATGTTAAAACGTTTTAAATATAATTCCGGCAGACTGCGCTGCAGTCGTGTCAGATATTCAAAAGGATATTTGAGCTTTAGTTGCGCCTGGTAGATGGCGCAGATATTAGTTTTTAAGATAGCGTAAGTATTGTTTAAACTATGAAGACTATAGACATGTGTATGGTGTATATCTCAACATTCATACTGCTATGCTACTCTATACGATGCATATCTGAATGAAGATTCATAGAGGATAGTTCGGCTGAACACATTTGTTACTTCTTGTACATCCATTACTTTCTTCTTTCGGATATTACCTTAAACTATTTATTTTGAAATTTGTTACTGTTTCGAAATACAAATTTTACATAATTCTTCATAAAATTTTCCTAACCTACATAACTATCCTAACACGTTTGTCGGGTCCGCTAATATACTGTAATGATTGTGAGACATTTGGTTACAAATCAGGTTGTGGCGAAAAATTATTGGGACGACCATAATATTTCTTACTTCTGCTTCTGAACAGGGTATATTAAGTTTACTACAAAGTATGCAACACCCAGAAAGAAACTTCGGAGGCCCTATAAAAATATACTTGTATGTATTTAAATAAAGAGCATGGTGAGCTAAATATATATAGCCATGTTTATCTGCCTGTATATACGCAAATTAGTAATTCAGTTTTTGTAATAAATTGTTAAATATAGCAGACGGCCCTTTCTCAGAAGAAATTGTGAAAATCAGAGCGCTATAGCATATAGCTGTCATACAGATGGAACGATCGGAACCGAGTTCAAGTAAGGGTATTATATACTTTATTAACATTATTTAAACTCGACGTTATTTAAATGTCAGTGCAGGTCAAAACATAAGCTGCCTCTATCTTTAATAAAAAATACCATTTTAGATTTTCTAAAGAAAAAAATGTGGGTCTTCGTTATTCATGTGAACCGCAAAGTAAAGTACCGACGTCATAAGATCCCATGTTCCTCTTTTACCATAAGTCTATTATAAAATCAAGAATAGTTGGCCTTAGTAAACTGTATCTGGTTGTATGAGTGCGATGAGCTCACGTGTCAGAAAGACACAAGTCGCAAACAACCTTAGGATTGCTTGACACAGTATTGTTTGAACACGCGTCAGAGCTGGACACCAGGAAAGAAAAAGCTTCACCATATTTCAATAAAGACGAAACGTTATGCCAAGCAGTTGAAAATTTGATTTCGTCGATACCGGTACGGTAATGTTGTGAAAAAGTGGTGCTTGGTCTCTGCCAATTGTCGAAGATATCGATAAAATAATGGAAATCATTGAGTCCGACTGATCTTTCATTAGCGAATCGCTGCTGAATTGCAATGCAACCAATTCATTTATGAAGCTGATGCTTACGTAAGTGACGAAAAGTGGGTAATTTACGACAAAGTCAAGCGAAAACATTCGTGATCGAACCCCGATGAGCCGGCGCAAGCAATGGCCTTGCCAGGATGGTTGTTCAGGAAGGCTTTGCTATGTATTTGGTGTGGTTAACAGGAAATCGTCTACTTTGGGCTGCTACCGTACGGCCAAGCTCATAATTCGTAGCTGTACTGTCATTAATTGAACCGTCTGAAGCACGTATCGTCTGATGGACGTTGTCGTATATAAGCGTTGTCAAGAGTATTAAGTCATGATGAATTTCTCATCACTTGTATATTCCATTGTGAGAACAAATAAGCTTTAATAAGTAGACGTGGTTGAATTTTTATTTTGTTTAAAGTTAACATGCGTGTTTGGATTATTTTCATATAAAAGGGAATTTTACCCCGCAATTGGTAATATGCTTTACTCTAGTTTACCGAAATCTAACAATATTGACTGACAGTTTTGGTTATATTTATACCCCAATTCTAGTAGCTTAAAATAAGAGGTTCCTTTGGATCACACCACTTTGCAGGTTTTGTTATAAGAAAAAACCTTAGTTTTAGAGGAATAATATTCAACTTAACTACTAGCAGCGCTAACAAACACCGTCATTCCACAGTTTTTGGAGTTATTTTGAACTTCTCATAATTTTAAGAGAGAACAATTTTTTACAATTACTGAGTTTGAATGATCTAAGAATTAGTAAAACAATCCAGCTAATATTGCACTAGTATAACTAATCAAGATCAGATTACTTACTATGACGATAATGAAAAGATGTACGACGCTCAGAACCACAAGTATAGCATACTATTCGATTGTTGTTTGACTGCACTGAAAAGTTTTGTTTGTTTTCTTTATTCAATTATCAGCATTTGTCGACATCATCATCATTTCCGATATGCATAAAAATTTTCATCGACAACTGCATTTTAGTACATCAAAATATGCTTAAAAACTAACTAATTGGAGAACAATGTCAAAGTTTAACGAAAAAATTTAAGAAATCTTTGACTCAAATACTTTATTGATTGCAAAATAAACAAGTCACACATATTTCTTGTATAAATTTACATAACATATACATACGTAATCGGACATTATGTGTTTTCTTTGGCTTGCCAAATATGTTTCTCGGCGACACCGTGAACTTTTAGGTAAGTTATTGTTGCACGAAAATTGATTTAAATAAGAACTGTTGCACGTTCGATACGTCTGACCTGATTTCCATAAATAAGACACAACATTCTAACCAAAAGCATTGAAAATTCTCGGCAAAGATACCACTCTATGGAGGAACTCAAATGCAAAGGGGCAAGAAAAAAATGCAAAGATATTGCTTAGCATGTGAATGGCACACATAAGTGTATATACTCATGTATGTATCTACATGTATCTACATATATGTATATACATATAAATATATTTATGTGCTCCAGCACACAGCTATATGCATCTGCATAGTATCAGTAGGAAGGACAGCGATGCAAAACTGCTCGCATATAAGCAACGACTGAAAGAAATTATCGTTAGTAGTAGAAAAGTGAGAAAGCGAAATAAAAAAAAACATTTGAAAGCACAACAAATGGAATGAAAATTCAAAGGCAACAAATGCATTGACATAGAAATGAAAATGAATGACGATACTAGAAAGAGACTGTCGAAAATATAGTGAGCAGAAGGACACGTGCACCATGAGTGCAATGTCCTTGTAGGCAACAACAATGCACATGTGTGTAATTGGATGTTTTATTGTATATAAGTACATATGTACGTATTCATGTATCAATTGATATCACGTTAGCTTTAAAGGGCAAATGGAAATTCACTGACATCAGCCTGGTCAACAGTTGAATTACAGCTGTAGGATACAAATGTATTGAGTTTGTTGTAATATGTTCTAAAATGTTCGTGTGTTTTAATTCTTTTAAGAGCGATATTGTTATTTTTAACTAATATGCAAATATGAAAAAAAGTCACAAACATACTTTCAAACAAATATCGAGGCTTTAAATTCTTTCAGCCTAGAAACATTATAGTGTAAGACTTGGCACAGCACTGTAAAGCCGATTTTTTGAATAATTGCTTTGTCTAGCATTAACTTAACATATTTACATACATGCATATACGATTTTTAGCATTTTTCAACACGATTTTTAAACACTTGAGATAAACTTTAATTATTTACGATGTTTTTTTTTTTTTATTTTTACGACTCGTCCATCATATGCCGACACCGAATATTCCAATGGTTTACGTGTAAAAATATCGTTTACGTTAGAACGCATTAGCGACCGGCAGGAGCAGCGTATCAGCAACGTCAAATGATACCAAAGACTGAGGCAGATTTTTTTCCAAACACTTCGTGAGCTCCGTCGTTCGTTTCGTAGTAAATCCCAGCCGTTGAATCGCATCGAGTGGAAGCGCATTGAGTACGAGACGAGTCTGTGCTAAAAGTCTTTTGCAACATCACCAGCTGCTGCTCTGGCTCGCTGGCTGTATTTTTTTCGTAGCCAACGCCAGCTTAAGCTCCATCAACGGTATTTATAGCAATGGATTTTATTACTTCAAATGCTGTTCAAACGAGTATTTGATACTTCGACTGTGATTGTTGTAAACACCACAACATTGTTGCTTTTGTAAATTTATTATATCGCTCATTCGTCAAAGCTGCTCGTTTTTCGAAGAATCGTTTTAGAGCTTCAGTCAAGTGCCGATTGCAGCAGAAGTTAAGAAGAAACTTCGCCTGCTTTTCAAAGAGTATGTGAGAGCATTGGAGCTGCAGAGAGTCGGTTACTGTTGGAATTTTACTACGCGTGCATAAAAGTTGAGAGTTAAAACTCGTGCTGCTTAAAGACGAGAGTAAATAGCATAAATAGCATTTTCTCAGTTCTTCAAAAGGATGCTTAAAATTTGCGTCCCTTTTGTAGTTTTGTCGCAGCATCCTATATTATTGCTCTCTCCTCCTGTTGCTGGCACTCAGCGCTCATATTATTCACGGCACTCTCACCGCAGCTAACACTCCTTTTCAGCCATGGCCAAAGTGTCAAATACAATTCAAATAATACGCGCATTAAAATGTCACATACCTCGCCTCTTTGGTGTAATCATATAAGCCAGTTGTCTGGGTTATCCGCGCAAAATGTTATTGTCCAACTTATTTACAAGTTAATGTGTGTGAAATAATTTTAAAATGCCACACCAAAGTATTGCAACAATACATTTCCGGATAAGTATGATTTGTTGAAGTAAATCTAGGAATATTTATTTATATACAAGTATATATGTACATATACATATGTCTTTACAGATGCGATAAAAACAAGATAATTATCTATATTTACAAGTGAATAAAGAAGTTATTATATAATTAAGGGCATTGCAAGTGTATTTAGTCAATACATATGTATGCAATTTTAGAAAATATATACTTAATACTCCATTATAAATATTATTTTTATTTAATTTATGGCACTAAACACTGCTAACTATAATGCCCTGATCCTTATCTGATTTTATATATACTACGTATTCCTTCGTACCATGCGCTTAATATCGCCAATGAGAAGGAATTTCTTTATTCTATTATTAGAAAGAACTGACTTATTTTATTCAATTTAATATCAGAAAGTTTTAGACCAAGCTGACCGGTGTCATCGCAAAATGAGTCAGGAGTATTCCGTAAAACGTAATCTTTAGATATACATATTATATTACTCCCATATATATACCCAATATTATAAGTTGAATAGATATTATTTATTTTTGGCATTCCGACATATTATTAACAAAAAAAGATGTTCTCTGAGTGCCATCACTAATATATGGTATAGAGAGTTAATTCAACCGGATGTTTGAAAATCATGATATTAGTTATATTAGGGTTAGGCAAGTTTTTACCCAATTTGATCCGTGCACAAAGATATGCTGTGTTTGGAAAAGCACGCTCTCTTAATTTCACTAAGATAACTCACACTTTGCCCAATATATGTGCATAAAGTCAGCCGGAAGTTCGAAAATCGTTATATTATATTAGTTATATGGGGTTTAACGAAGAAATGATCCGATTTAATCCATTTTTGACATATTTTTGAATCATCTGAATTTCAATAAATATTTCCTATTAGAGAGCGGGGCCACGCACTCTTTCAAAAATGAGATGTACATTATACAAAATCCACATTAAACTGTTTAAATCTAAAGTATGTGTTCAACACACTAATGAAATGGTGTTAGTAATAATGCTAATATTAAACGAAGTAGGTTAAATAGCTGCTGTTGATTTGTGTAAAACTTTATTTATAAATAAAATAAACAGATACAGAACGAAAACAGAGAATGTTCAGTGAAATATCATTTAGATAGTGCTCACTATTTGGGGATATATCCAATAACAGCACTGTGGACTAAGTATTGGACTGTAGGCTTTTAGAAATACTCTCTCCTGAAAGGGCGATTACATAAACATTAACAGAAAATGTTAATTATTTCTGGTAACACTCTTACAGGAATTCGATCAATAGCAATCGGTAACTGGTGAAGCGCTGTGAGTGAGCGTTTTTGCTGTAAAATTAATGTAATTACTGATTCATTCATATTCTGTATCTGTTTAAAGTGCTGTAATGTATTAATTAAATTAAAATTTCGTTTCAACTAACTCTGAACAGTGTACAGTGGCTTACCGCTTAGCAGCGTACTTGAAAAGGGAGGAAATGTTGAGGAGCTTGAAACTGTACATAATGTACATATGTGTGGTAATACAAAACATAACAAAGTGTAAATGAAACGTTTATGTCAACAAAGACTGCGCGTATGCCCATCACAAATGTGTATTAGCTTGCACATGTCAGGTGCTTTTTGAGATTCATTCGTTAATCCTTTATTTAAATCAAATAAATTAAAACTGTGCGGAGCATAGAACTTGCATATGCATCATATGTTATAATCGCTATTTCAATATTTACAATCTTGTTATCATAGAGAAAAAGTATGATATATTTTTTTCGATGTATGTATATTTTATGCACACTCGTTCAAGTGGTAACGCATTTTACTGAAATGAAATGGTTTTCATAAAACGTTCATCTACATATTTACATTGGTGTATCATATACATATGTACATGTAAGCATATACGTTTTTTGATATGAGATTTGAGATGGTATGTTTAAATAAAGATATGTACATAAATTAATTGATCAATATTATTTTAAAACACTCCATTTGCATTCAAAAGCAATTAACTCACATAAATTGGTAAAATAAATGACAGTTGTTTTAATAAAATTTGAGTTAAAAACCTTTTTTTTTATTAAATTTAAAGCGCAAATTTTAATTTATAACATCTGGTCAGAGTATTTGAAATTGCGTCCGTTCTATGCAAATTCAAATGCGTATATTCCTTAACTGTAAATTGTATTTGTGATTACATATATACGTCGACGCAAAAGTCCAAGGCGTTATCGAGCAATCACACTACATATTGACTTATCCCAGCTGTACCACCACAAACGTTAAGTAAGGCCAAAGAGGCCAGACTCTAGAAAACATCATGAAATTGATTTTGGTAGTTAACATTATTGTCTTCTCAAAGGAACGCGAAGATTATATCATTCAGAAAGTTTTACAAATTCAAAAGCTGTGCGCGCAATGGTTGTCGCGTTGCTGTTTTACGAAGACAGCGATGCGGCTTATTATACTTATGGTTCCTGGCCCACCGTATTCGACAGATTTTACCCATGGCTACTATTATATCCTGAACAGTTTGCCACACAGCTTGTAACACCCAGAAGGAAACGCCGATATCGGATTACTATAGCATACATTTGTCATAAAAACTGAGCGATCAAGTTCTTGTTTAGAAAAGTTTTTTATTTCCCAAGGTATCTTTCCGAAATTTGGCATAGATTATTCTCTAAAGCAGCATTATAATTTTCGAAGAAATTGTTCGAATTAAACTTTTTTCTCGTTTTTATACTCTCGCAACATGTTGCTACAGAATATCATAGTTTTGTTCACCTAAAACCTAATCAAGTTAGATATAGGGTTATGTATATACAAATGATGAAGCGGAAGAGACGAGTTGGAATCCGGTTGACTGTCTGTCCGTCCGTCCGTCCGTCGGTGTAACTTGATTAAAAATTAAGATATCTTTATGAAACTTGGTACAAATGTTTCTTGATACCGTAAGGCGGTTGGTATTGCAGATGGTCGTAATCAGACCACTGCTACGCCTACAAAACGCCATTAATCAAAAACAAATAAATTGCCATAACTAAGCTCCACAATAAGATACAATACTGTTTTTTGGTACACAGGATCACATTAGGGAGGGACATATGCAAGGGTCTCCTAAATCGATAAAGCTATAATAACAAAATTCACTGGGAACAAATGTTTTTAGCATCTCTATCGGCGTTGTGAAAATGGGTAAAATCGGATGAAAACCCCGTCCACTCCCCATATAACGGTACTGTTAAAAACTACTAAAAGTGCGATAAATCAAGCACTAAACACGCCAGATACATTAAACTCTATCTCTAGGATAGTACGAGATGACTTTATGTGAACCGCGTTCCAAATTGGACAGTGGACGTGGCACCGCCCACTTTTAGGTGAAACCCCATATCTTGGGATCTGCTTAACTGATTTAAACCAAATTCGGTACATAACATTCTTCTCATATTTCGATGGTATAGTGCGAAAATGAGCGGAAGCGGATTACAACCACGCCTATTTCCCATATAACACTATTTTAAATTTCATCTGATTCTTTTACTTTCCACTATGCAAATCAAGTAAGAATGATTGTATCGGGGTTAACCTTTGCGTGAATAATGCTTTTAAAGTATGCCACCATCTGACCAAAAGTTGTCTGAATCGAACCAAAGCTGTTTAAGCCCCAACATGTGGACCCCAGTGCCTATAGTTGACTTTTTACCGAAAATATCCGTCAATGTGTAAGAGATTTAATTAAAATTCATATAATAAATGATGTTGTCAGTAAATAACTGAGGCAACAGTTAATACTTCTAATTATTAAAATATATAAAGAAATCTGAAACGAGTATACCATTTGAGTTTGCCATTGTATAAAATGTTCGGTTACATCCGAACTTAGTCCTTCCGTACTTGTTATTTTTATTTTCTGCTAGATTTGATCTCACAATGTCGACCTGACGCCTAGCTAATTAATTTGAAGCTGATTTCTTTGTGGAGGTTGCCAATTTCACGCTTTGTATATAGTACTAGCTGTTGGCATTCAAAATGATTACTTGCATACTATCGCAGAAGCGAGGTCAGGCATAGTCCCTAATACTTGTTGCCTACAATGTAACTAGTTCCAGTTTAATGCAAATCGTGCACGAATAAAAAGGGTGCCAATAAATTTCATGGTTAATGAGCAGCAGAAAATCTTAATTTATTGGCTTTTGAATAACATTTCGAAAGTCGCGCGAAGTGCTCGTAACGGATTTATTGTGGCAAAATATGAGAATTGATATGATTTCCGCTCCACAATATTCGCACACACCAAAGCGTATTCAATTCGTTTTCTTTTATCCGAGGAATTTCACACAAAGTTTTCGCTTATTTGCGCATTTACGCTTTTCAGGTTTGCTCGCAATCTTCTGTGCAGCGCAATGAAAAATGTGCAGTGGAAAAATGGCGAAAAAGTGCTTTGTATCTGATGGAAAAGGGCACCAACAACAATTGCCCGTTTGTACACTTGCAGCTGAGCCAAATGTCACAGCTAAATTCGCAACTGTATTTGTGTGCATATGTATGTGTGTGTGAAAAGGTGTAAGCGGTTGTATAGCTTTTTCCGCGACTTTGCGCTTGTGCTCTTGTCGGGCAAGTCGATTTGTTGTCGCTGTGTTGTATTTGCACTCTATTTTCTTCTATTTTGTGTTGCAGGCATTCATAGTGACTGCGCTGGCGTTGCATTTGTTTGTTGGTTTGAAGGGAGTATTGCATTTACGTTTGCCTCGGCGGCGGTTGTGATGACTGAAAGGGGTAATTCATTTAGGAACATCAGAAGTGCGACACACTTCCACCATGCTTTATGGACGCCTCTAACCGCGTCATACGCAAATTGACCCCATTAATCTACTACAATGGCAACAACAATAACAGAAATAGCGGTAAGAAAAAAAAAGCGCTGGTAACAATAACTGGCCGCACACACAATAGTTTAGTCGTCGAGCATTGGTTTCACAGCAACAGCAACAAGAGCGCGCTGATTCAGAAAAATGCGCGGAGAGCTTTCAAATCGACAAGGCCATAGCTTACCATGAGCGCCAGGGACACTAGTTTGGTGAAGAAAATCACCGCTTACAGTGCGCACAGCAGAAACCCCCCCTCTACCATTTTGAATACACCCAGCGACGTTGCAGTTTGTGTTTTAGCGGCAAAATTAATGGTGAAGAGTGCAGGCTTGTGAA